TTTCCAATATCCCATACACAATAATGTGCAAATTTATACCTTTGAGGTTGATATATGCCATACAGAAGAAGTGGAACCTTTTTTTGCATGTTTTTTTTTCAGGTATTCACTATGTTATGGGGACAAAATGTCCCCACAAAGATGGCAATATCCAAATTCCTTGTCCTTGTGGGGACATTTTTTGGTCCCCATGAGGAAAACAGAATATACAGAATGAAGTTTTCTGAAAATCGAAAAATGCAGAAAGTTTTGTGTGAGCGGTAGCTTTAGGGAGAGAAAATACAGTTTGTAAAGTACAAAAACCATTGCGTCTATGGAAAGTCCCCATAAAACATGGAAACCCATCATTTTGTGTTTGTGTGTGCATGTGTACATGTGTGTGTGTGTGTGTGTGTGTGTGCGTGCATGCGTGCGTGCGTGCGTGTGTGTGTGTGTGTGAAAAAACATCAGACAAATGTCCATTTGCAATCTTATTTAGTTTATTTCTTATTTGTAATAGTAACTGCATTAAACCTACTTTATGAATTCTAGTAAATTCACATTTATATGATACAGTGTACAGAACAGTAAATACATGTAACATTCAGTATTGTTTCTTCCTGCGGAACCTGTGTCCAAATAAACCCAACAAAACATCTGCTCACCATCTCATGCTCCTCATACTCATCTCACAAAGCTCATCTACCAAGTGCAAGATTCAGTCTCTGGGTATTAGGGGTTTCTGAGCAACTCCATGTCCAATAACTGCACAAGTGTGACTGTCAGAGAGCAATGTGCCACGTTAGTACATCCATCTCAGAGATATGTGCTCTGATATTGTGTGTAACACTACAAAAATAGTCTACAAATAAATTCAAACCAAAATGGCACATTTGTCAAATAATCAAAAGGATTTCATACATGAAAAAAACAGCAAAATAGTATAAAGGCTGAAGAACAGTGGCAAATCATGTGACTTTCTTTTAGTTTGTTGGGTTTATGGTTGCAGGATTGTTTGATATTGACCTCCAGAACAATAATTAAAAATAATAATAAAAGCAGTTATCACAAACACAGGAAAATTATGTATATACTGAACAGAAAAAAACAACAACACAGACCTGATATTAATCTATCTAAGGTATTTGTTATACAAAATGTATATTATACTTTGTAAGTGCTACACTCTAATCTTGTATAAAAAAAAAAAGATTAAAAAAAATCACATCCAGAAATGGAGAATGCCTTCATTTTAAGATACAAATTACAATTGTTATACAAAATGTATATTATACTTTGTAAGTGCTACACTCTAATCTTGTATAAAAAAAAAAGATTAAAAAAAATCACATCCAGAAATGGAGAATGCCTTCATTTTAAGATACAAATTACAGTGTGTTTGCATTTTTCAGAAAAATGTATGGCCATAGAGTTTAAAAGTGTCTTTCTTCAGTATTTAGGCTAACTGTAATATTCAAATATATTAATAATGTACGCTTCTGCATCGCTTTTCGAACTGAATGAACATCACAAGAATCTATGAATACTGACAATCATGCAGCGAGAGAATTTTAATGTTGTTTTATATCGTTTGCATAAGCACATCAAACATTTCTCCCTTTTCTGACCATTTCCCATCCTTGTAAAAAAAACTTTACGAGTCCAAAAGTCTGTGCTGAAGTTCAGAAGATCAGCTAGTGCTTCCTGCAACCTCCATTATAACACTTCATTATAAGGCCACTGATATACTGACAACTTAGAAATAATATGGAATAGTGATAGATGGGCATATCTCCACACAAACCCTGAGACATTATAAAGCCCTGGATATTTCATTTGAATTGATTTCTAAAGACAACTGTATCCTACACCAATGTCAGTATTTGAACCAAATATATCAGTTGCACAAATTGTTACATCGGATCATTTCAGTTTTTGGTACTATATCCATTAACATGCTGCTGAATCTTAGAGTCTAACATTACAATAAGCACAAAAGATTTAAATTGTTTGAGACGCTCTTCTAGTTTCTAAGTCCTTCAGTGTTCCCACACGTTTTGACCAATGAACGTCCAATCATCCTTAAAATTCCCTGAAATATCCAGGTTTTCCATGACCGTGGGAACCCTGTATTTTGCCTTCAAAAGAGTCGCTTTTAATCACCCTAAACGCTCATATCAGTCACCGGTTAATTTTATGGGGAAGCTTGTTTCTTTGGTGTGTGTTTATATGAGCAGATATGTGTCTTGTGTCTTTAACATTTGTCTATCTGGGTCACAGACTGCATGGCTAAGCGCTTTTGTCATGGTGATGACCTGAGCCAGGTAGTGACCAGTGTCACATTACCGCTGTAATAAAGAAAAAAGTAAAAAAAAACAAAAAAGGAAACTGCTATCATCTTTCAGCCGGACCACCAGGACAACAAAACCTCCTGCTTATTAATTCCATCTAGAATGTTCTGAGTCACCTGCCCAGATGCAGACAGAACAAACACTGATAAAGACAACATTAAATGAACACATTAGTGGTGTCTCTGCCATTGCTAATACTCATGCTCTAGGTTTATGGGTCTGAACAAACTTGGGCGAAAATTATACATCGATTAAAATTTTTCTTAAATTTTTCTCAAAATTTGGACAAGCCACAAGACTACAATGTCAGAGAGATTTTGGTTTTGGCTCTTTTAACTTGGGCCAATAAACAACCACCCACTGGCAAATAAACTGCAAAACTACATTTTAATTATAGAAGTTGATAAGTTGTAAAACGGCAAAAATATATATTATTTTAACCCACATTAAGTAACATTTTGGCTTGAATTGATTTAAATGGGATGAATTGATTAAGAATGGTATGATATAAATACTAGTTTGAATGTTTTTGTATTTGGGAAGAAATTGTTTTAATTATTAAGAATTCAAAATTTTAAGTTTGAACCAAACCATAAATAATTTTGGCTGTAACAATTTCTTTTCAAGTTTATCCAATTTTTTGTACCCTTCGCTAATGTTTCTTTTTTCACCATTGTATCTCTCTGCAAAAACAACAACAACAAAAAAAAAAATATATATATATATATATATATATTGACAATGTCTACATGACAGTTGAACTCTTACTGAAACATTCCTCTCTGTTACTGACCTGGAACCAAGAAATGCAGTTGATTACTCATGATAGAGTAGCTTTAAAGACCCATGAATACTTTTAGTTCATCTATATGCCATTATACTTCTAAGTTGACATTCAAATAAAAATGTACCAGATATTTTTACTACCTTTAAATCACAGAAAATATTGAGCGCTACACAATGTTTGGTCCAATCCAATGCTCTCTATGATGAAAATGTCCCTCTCCCTAATACCACCTGGCACAGACTAGCAATAGCAAGTAGGAAATCAGGGCTCATTATTTAATTTACAATCAAATAAGCAAAAATCTGACAATAATGGCATCATAAATCTAGGTTCTTTAGCTAACAACTGTCAATTTCCACAATTTTTACAGTCTCCATATTGAGTGTTATGACTTCTCTTATTCATGTGTCTATGACTGGCTCTTCTCATACTGTATCTGGTTGTATTTAAAGCACAGGAGCACAACATCGACTGTGTACATGAGAGGTCAGGGGTCAAACTCTGACAGGATATAATCAGTGGATATGGTTAGTGGTTATGGTACACTCAATGCATAGACAATGACTGAACTGGCCACATTTGACATATCATTAGCATATGCATTACGGTATGCATTATGGATGTTACATAGAGGTTCCCGTACAGAGACAGACAAATGGATTAAAGAATGCTAAAAAACATTTTTTTTTAACTTATACTTAAGCATAACGATCGGTATGCTAAAGATGGATGTGGTGTGTAGTTTGTATAGTTGTGATGTTGAAATGTGTTAAACATAAAATGAATGATTTTGATTTGATGAGTCATTTATGGTGAATTTCTTCAGGAAAGACATGAATATCCATGTTCGAGTCCGTATGGCTTTCCTCAAATTAAAGGAACATGCAAACAATATTTACTAAATTGTGCATTCTTTGCACACAGTTTGGTCATAATCAAAGGTAAAGGGAAACGACACTTGAGTTTACAGCCTAAAGTTAAGGATATAGTGATACATCAACTTCACAGGTGATACATCAACATCGAAGTATGCTGAAGGCAATGTAAGGTGTGTATTTGAGCGCTTGGGAGAATGTGTGTGTTTGCAAGCTCATGTTTTCTCATACGGTAGATGTAGCAGTTGGTTTTACTGTGATGCTCTGCGCGATATCCTCCCTATTGATCTTCTTCAGTGCTGTGCAAAGCGTATCAATGTTAGCTGAATCCTGGCTAGCCCAATGAGACAGAAGGGCTTGGATGGGCCTTTCTTCCTGCTTGAAATTAGCAATGTGTTCTTCTTTGTATCCAAGTAGACCTGCCAGGCTGCACCAATCGGTTTCCTCATTGGCTCCTGACTCCTCCCCTTCACAGGTATGATTTAGCAGTTTCTCAACCTCCTCCCGTGTGTGTAAGGGCAAGGAGAGGGCCGAACCTCCATCTATCTTGACCACTAAAACAAAAAGACTACATTTAGCCATTTGGATTAATATACCTAATGTAAGTCTACAAAATGTCCCAAACTTCATGAGTCCCTTGTTGGTCCTGAGCAGTTCAACTGCCTGCTGTTCTTCAGAAAAATCCTCCAGTTCCTGCACATTCTTTGGTTTTCCAGCATCTTCTGCATATTTGAACCCTTTCCAACAGTGACTGTATGATTTTGAGATACATCTTTTCACACTGAGGGCAATTGAGGGACTCGTACACAGCTATTACAAAAGGTGGAAACATTTACTGATGCTCAAGAAGCCAACACAATTAAGAGCCAGAGGGTGTAAACTTTTGAACAGGATGCTGATGTGTAAATTTTTCTTATTTTGTTTAAAGGTCATACTTTTTCATTTGGTACTGCACTTAAGAAGCTACATAAATATTAAAAAGTTTCCCAGAAGACAAAATAAGTCATTTATGGTGAATTTCTTCAGGAAAGACATGAATATCCATGTTCGAGTCCGTATGGCTTTCCTCAAATTAAAGGAACATGCAAACAATATTTACTAAATTGTGCATTCTTTGCACACAGTTTGGTCATAATCAAAGGTAAAGGGAAACGACACTTGAGTTTACAGCCTAAAGTTAAGGATATAGTGATACATCAACTTCACAGGTGATACATCAACATCGAAGTATGCTGAAGGCAATGTAAGGTGTGTATTTGAGCGCTTGGGAGAATGTGTGTGTTTGCAAGCTCATGTTTTCTCATACGGTAGATGTAGCAGTTGGTTTTACTGTGATGCTCTGCGCGATATCCTCCCTATTGATCTTCTTCAGTGCTGTGCAAAGCGTATCAATGTTAGCTGAATCCTGGCTAGCCCAATGAGACAGAAGGGCTTGGATGGGCCTTTCTTCCTGCTTGAAATTAGCAATGTGTTCTTCTTTGTATCCAAGTAGACCTGCCAGGCTGCACCAATCGGTTTCCTCATTGGCTCCTGACTCCTCCCCTTCACAGGTATGATTTAGCAGTTTCTCAACCTCCTCCCGTGTGTGTAAGGGCAAGGAGAGGGCCGAACCTCCATCTATCTTGACCACTAAAACAAAAAGACTACATTTAGCCATTTGGATTAATATACCTAATGTAAGTCTACAAAATGTCCCAAACCATATTTATACCCATACCCTGTTTGTTTGTAGTAGTGGTAGTAGTGACATAATGGTAGGAATTATGTAGACATAACCACAACGCAAACCACACAAATGCATGGAGCCTGGAGGCCTGGGGGCCCCTTGCTAAATATATATATATAAAATTCTCTTATGAAACTTTAGAATGTGCAGCCTAATAGGTTTAAACTAAAATTTACTGTACAACTTGGATTGTAGCTTAAAAGTTCTTTTTTTGTTTATATATGTATATTGTTTTTATATAAATTACAAATAATCATACAACTGCTGCATTAAACTGTTGCAGTAAATGAGCTTGCTTACTCAATATTTAAATAGTCTGGTTCAGTATATGCTACAAGCTGGTCCCGCAGAGTTCCTCTGAAACCCTCTACTACCACCAGCTCCACCTGTCTAGGGGCCAGGTTTATTAAATAGGGAAAATTAGCGTGATGCTGTAAATCTCAAAAAGGTGCAGATGGGAGTGGGAAGTTTTGCAGGTGATCTACTGACAATGAGCAAGTTAAAGAACAGAAAAACCAGGCTCATTTCCATAATGATCAACGCAAACTACCAAGAGCAGAGATATTTAGCAACTATCGCAACCATGTGAAGTGCAACATGGGTTAAGACATGATTTCTTTGGGCATTAAATAATGGCACAAATATCAGTAAATTTACTACCGTCAGTAAAATCAAGTTGTATAATTTATTTAAATACTCTCCCATAAAGAAATTATTAACATTTTGCATATTCTGCAAGGGGCATGTAAATTTATGAGCACAACTGTATATATATAATTAATTATCATATATATACAGTATATGATTTAAGGGTTTGTACCTGTATGTGGAGGCCCCTGGCCCTCCTGTAAGCTCTGACTGTCCACTGAGATGCCGCTGTCACTGTGGAGTTTCTCTCCCTCAGGAGAAGGGGTCTGACTGGGGTTTGCACTGCATGCTCTATTATTGGCTCCTTGCTTGTTCTGCTTACAACTGTTCCACCTGAAAGATATTAAAGAAAGCATCAGAACATTTGATTAGAAAATCAGTTTTTATTTCTAACTTAAAATTGAAGTGTGATGTTTCTGCACCACTCTTCCTCCCCCTGCCATTGTTCAGACAAGCTTGTCCCACCCAAACACACCCTATTGGTTTTGCCAGAAATTGAGACGTTGGACCACTCAAAACAAGCAATGATTTGAAAGCACCAGGACATTCACACCCTAAAGAAACAAAAGCGGGTCAAAATTATGCCCTCCAGCTGTGATTTTAATATTTTATGAGCCCTTCCCCCCACAACCTCCATCTCTGTCTGCTCAGAAAACTAGCTGCCTTATTTGAATTTTTTTCTACATTGTTATCAGTCAGTAAAAACAGCCTAGAAGCGTTTTTTTTTTGCTTGTTTAGTTTATAAATATAGCTGAACTAAAGCCTACATAGCTGTACAATGCTTTGTGAGTGGAGATGAAAACAGCTCAGGAAGAGAATGAATCTGGTCCTCCTCACCGTTTAAAGATGATGAAGGCCACCAGGCCCAACAGCACTGCAGCCAGTATAGAGGTGTAGATGGGAATGAGGTTGTCACTCAGCCCATGGAGTCTCTTCAGCCCAGGGTCAGCCGTGGTCACGCTCTCCGTAGGACTGTCAGGAGGAGACTTGGCTGTATACAAGACATCTGATGGAGCACGAGAAGAAGAATAAGAGGGAGAAGAAAAAGGAGGAGGAGAAGGTGTGGCATATGGAAGAGGAGAAGGAAAGGTTGAGCTGTTAGGAGGATCTACATCTGTTGGAGGAAAGGGACAAAGACAAAGAAAAAGACAAAATCTGTTAGTTGCTAAAAAGAAGGAATTGGCATGAGAGATTTCTAAAGCAAGTTAAAATTGCATAAATCATGCAGTTATTACAGAATATGAAAGGAGGTACAGCCATTCATGGAACACAAGAAGAACACTTTGCTTATTTTTTTTACAGTTTAAATAAAACTAGTTATATAAATTATTTACACAAATATTTTTATTGCAACTGCTGCAATAATATTTTTGTGCAAATCATTCATAAAACCACTTTTATGTAAATTGTGGTATTGAGTTGATAGTTGAAGTTCAAAAAAATAAAAATGAACAGTTTGCACACAAATTCTTTCTGCTTGAATAAGGTCGGGTGTGTTTAAGTTCTTTATTTACTCATCCTCATATTGCTCCAAACATGTATACTCAAAAGAAGACACTGTGAAAAAATGTTTGGACCCCATTGACTTTCATTGTATGGACACATACAAACATTCTTCAAAATTCCACAGAACAACACAGAAAAAAAATCATGCAGGTTTGGAATGACATGAAGGTGACTAAATGATGACAGATTTTTTGGGGCAACTATTACTTTAAGATCAAGTTAGTTACAATATTAGCAGATCTTGACATGGAATCTGTATCTACAAAAAAGCTAATTTCCACAGAATTGAAAAATGTTCCACAAAGTTTGATTACTGAATAATTTGATTTTCTGTTATCTACTAAAAGAGTGTAGAAAAACTGTGGAAAACGTTACCAGATTCCATCTAGGTCTAGTCATTAGTTTCTAAAACAATCCCAAAATAAAAGACACAAAAACGTTCCAGTGAACATTGTAAAATTGAGTAAAAGCACATCTTGTCTTGGCCATGTGAACTCTGTTCGCCGGCAAGCTAAAAAAATGATTCTTTTGATTTGATTATCTTTGATTCAATTGGGGGCCGTAATAAACAGGCTTTGTCCTGAGTCAAACCTAATGGACACTCAGCTAGTGCAGGAGATTGTGATTAGATTGGAGAGGTAGAAGCTCGGCCCAAGTAGGACAGGCATCGCCCCGGGCTACTGTGTGCAGGGAATGTTGAGTATGGATTTATTGATCAAAGTACTGCAGCATGAAACATTTTGGAGGGAATTTTTTGCATGTGAGTTAGTTTTGTGGCACGCTTAATAATTTACCTCATTCATGAAACAAAAGCAGAGGAAATTTCTGAAATGGTATTGATGCATTAATGTGACAATTTATGTAATATTTTTTAGAATCGGTTTACAAAGAAATCGTGCTTAATGAATGTGAATGAATATGGGTGTTGTTACCCACGCAAAAGTCACTACCATAGTGTTGTTGATGGTTGCAAGGTGTTGCTACGATGATATTTAACTTAATGTTAATATTTAAAAAGTTTTAATGTCTTGAGACAGTATGCAGTTGCCAGGGTTCAGGGTGGTTGTTCAGGGATTGGTGTTTATACTGTAGGTTGTTCTAGGAGGTTGTCAAAGATGGTTTTAGGACATTGCTGTGTACCTTGATTGCAGAAGTATTTTTTTCCATTCATGTTTTTCATAGGAATCTTTAAAAGCTATTTGTTAAAGAGTTGTAATCCAAGAACCAAACCAACCAGCTATGAGGTGAATCACAATATTACAAACTTTGATTTGAAGCAATACATACATACATACATTACATTACATTGCATTAAAAAAAAATTATAACAATTATACAAATTTGAAATTCAGACAAAAAGACAAAGGTACAAGACTGTGTACTTAACGGTGTGTGTGATGAAACAGATCTGGCTAACGCTCCACTGCGTATTTGTGTTTGCACTCTGGAGAGCATCAAAGGTTTCTTTTTACAACGTGTTCTTGCATCGTTAAGCAATGTAGCCAATCACAGACATATCTGTTGATTTCTGTTGATGTCATGGCCAATCAGATACATTTAAGTCATAATCCACTCAATATGGCTCAAAACGCAGGAGTTTATTGTTCAATGTGGAGTTTTGAGCGCTCCTTTCATTATAACAAAGTGTATACACATAAGAGATTAATTGTGTAGTGTAGAGAGCTTATATAAGAGAACTGTGTGAGTCCGCTATGACCTGAGTGACAGATTTTAGTGGCTATAAAGGGAGTGATCTTTGTGTGCTTTCTAGGCTATATTGCATAATTCAAGCATAATTGTAATAATTTAAAAGTTTTATTTTTCATGCTTCTAAGAGGAACAATGGCCACACACTGCTAATTAATCTGTATATAAAAGTGGGACTCACTGTTGTAATTGCAGTGATTGACATAGCGATAACCAATTTTACTGTGATTGCACTGCGTGTATTACTGGCACAGAAGTGTATGTTAGGCTAAATTTGGAACGATCTTGTCTCTTATCTGATTAACTGTAAAGAAGCAAAACATCTAATGTTAATTTATACAGTGACTCAACTTCCTTTAGTTCAGGAAACCCAAACCCGATGGTAAACCACTTACTTCAAATATAATGCACACCAGATGAAAAGCGCAACAGCCCAACATCTAGTCACCAAATTTAATTAGGCAAAAAGTTTGCTTTAAGAATGAAGATAATGACATTGATGAGTTATGCTGTAAAAAATTGCAAAACGGAAAGAGCAATCTATATTATTACATTATATCTCTCTATATGAAGCATAGACCTTATTTAGTCCATAGAAAGACAAATGTATTGAATCATGGGTAATGTAGTTTCTCACCAGGACCTGCACTGTTAAACATGGTGATTTAAAAATACGATTAAATAATGCAGACTGATGGCTTTAGCAAAAGCGAATACCATTAGTTACAGTAGTAGCTTTACAGCTCACAGTAGGTCTGTCTTTGGTCTGTTTATGAGTTACCGTTAAAAATGAATGTGATTTTTAAGTCTCTATAATATATTGGTCTCTAGTTTCAGGTCCCTTTTTCAGTGTAAGAATATGGGATTTTTATTTGTTCAAGTTTTATTTGTTGCTTGTTCAAATCACTGACCTTAACAGACACCACTAGTAATTATCTTGAAAGCAATATTTAAGTGTCTGTGTTTGCAGGTATACTGCTCTGAAATTCAAATTTTCAATTCACATCCGCTCCCTTTTCCTTGTGCAGTCTCTGAATAATATGCCAGTCCATAAGCACACACACACACAGTGAATCATTGGTCAAGGGACACCAGACACCATCATAGACAGAGATGTTCTTTGTCAAGAAACAACCCCCCCCCCCATGTCTCTGTAGCTCCTTTGCCTCTCCGTATTGCTTTCTTTCTTTTCCATTATCTCTCCATCACATCTCTCTCATGCATGGTTGACCTTTAGTCGGGCGTTATCCTCCGCTTCATAAAGACACACTCATCTACACAGTTCTGTCTTTTCCTTTCTAATGCTCTGCTTCCTGCTCCTTTTTTTTCAGTATTTATTGTTCTTTTGATGTTTCTATGTATCATATTGTTCTTTTGCATATTGTTCTTGCTCACAGATACAGATGATCAGTGGCGTGAAAGTTGAAGGGAAGTACAATATGAAGTGTCACATAACATGAGAGAGGGCAATGTCAATGTGATTGGCTGATTACCCGTCAATGTGACAGGCTATCATCTCAACAAGACCCAGCTTTCATGATCGTAAACGGTCCAAAAATCGACCTGGGGTGCATTTCCCATACAAAGACTGCTTACCAAAGTAGTATAATGTATTGTTGGAGAAATTAACTAGTCATGACTGTTTCCCGAAAATGTAGAAATAAGGTTACATCTCTGTTTTTTGAGCCACGCTGGTTCAACAAAATAGTACTGTTGTTAATAACATCAAATGCAGGAAGTAATTCTGCTAATTACTAATTTGTATTACGTCTTTATGGGTTTAATGCTAATTCTGAGCATTCTCTCAGCATTCTGGGATATTCCCGCTGCTTTCATCTTCTTGGATATGCAGTTAAAAATGTTCAGTTTCTTTCCTTGCATTCCCTCCTACGCACTTAACAGGAGTTTCTTCTCACTTTACAACACATAATACCCCAATTATCTGCCGTTTTTCATAACTTGAGAGAGAATAATGGTCCTAAAATTAGTAACTAAAAAATTCTCGCTAAGCTTGCACCTCACGCTATATATTTGTCAAACACCAGTTAATATATAGCAGTTCTCTCTCTATTATAAACTAAAACTATAACAATTACATACAACTACAATGATGAATGTAATAGTGTCCACACCAATAAGTGATAACGTCTCGGATACGTATGTAACCCTCGTTCCCTGAAGGAGGGAACGGAGACGTCACGTCGGTGACCGACGAATTGGGATCTCGCTTAGAAAGACCAATCCACTTCGAGTGTAAACCACAGGAACGACCACCGCTGAAGCGCCGTCTGCCAGCACAAAAAGCTCCCGAGAGCACACTAGACTCGTCACACACGAAGCAGTTTGGTAGGAGCAGAACGATGTTGTCGCTCGGCTCCGAAGCGAAAAGCTGGTATGCGTTGCACTGGCTGCCTCTTTATGTTCACGCTGTGATCAGCAGCAGCTGGATGCAATCATCGCATGCCAGTGTGAATTGGCTCATTTAGTTTACACTCGAAGTGGATTGGTCTCTCTAAGCGAGATTCCAATTCGTTGTCTCCGACTTGACTCTGAATGACCGACTGAAAGGGAACATTATGCTCATTGTAAGTGTTCTACTGCAGTTAAATTCTCGCAGCAAGCTTTAAAGTAAGATGTAGTGTATATATCAAAAGCTGTGTGAAGAAATTTACTGTAAAAAGAACTATAGCAACATTAATGGATTTTAGAGATTTAACTTAAATTTACAGTAAAACTCCATAATTGACCATTTGCAAAGAGCTTGATTGACAGGCGATCTGACCAATCATAACTCCGAATCTGCCATCTTGTCTGACAGCTACGGCTGGAAACTACCAATAAATTAAATGTTCCTACCTATTAGATTGTGTTTTATTAATGTCTACACCTACCCCATTCCTA